TGCTCTTACAACATCAGAATAAAATATGCAATAAAACCGAAAAACTCCATCTAACCCTCACTATCAAGAGATTGACCAGGTGCGCCCATAAAACGTGAGTTTCCACTGCAAAAATAATGATTAGCAGCATTGACATCAATTGACGGAGCATGATTACCTCCCAAAACACTAAACTACTTAGAGATTTCCACAGCTTATTATTATTCATACGACCACGTCATTATAGAACTTACGCCTCTCTTTCCTCATCACAGCTTTACAACGATTCCTATTATGTAGATTTATTTGTCAATTTTGTTCTCTTGATGGATCCAAAATTAAATTTGAGTAACCATGGTAAATGAAGAAAAGGGTGTTCTAGGTTTTGTTATACGGTGGTCCAAAGAATTTTCTGATCCATATATAACAAAACAGTTATTTACGTCTCTCGTTAGACCTATATTAGAATACGGTTCTGTTGTATGGGATCCTCAATATGCAATATACCAGCAAGTTAAAATTATTTAGAATGCCTACATTTAAAAGCCGACCTTCAGATTTCCATCTAGTAGAATTAATGTTCCGTATAGAACTAGTAGATACTTCCAATTAATTCATGCCGATTTTCACCGCACGATCCCACGGCGGCCGGTTCTATGTACCGGATTGACTCGGAGGCACATTTCTCCGACCAGGGGCCGCCAACCCAGCAAATACATGTTCGTGTTCGTCCATTTTTCTGATGTGGGAGCAACATTACCCGGAATGTTTGCTCCGTATTCTCTTGGTTCGAGCCGGGATCAAGACCAACCTCGGACAATGTGTCCCCAGGTCTGACGAATGACGTAACTTGGCAATCAGTCATTTCTCTAGGCTCAGACCGCCTCCCCATTATTATCGCCATCAACAGACCACCCGACTTCATTTACTCTGAACGCCGCACTTTCCTTAACCACGTGAAAGCTAATTGGCAAGAATTCAGAGATTATACCAATCGCCGCTTCAAGAACTGCCCAACCCATCTGATGTTCAGGTAACAGATAGGTGTTTCCGGGACATCATCAAAGCTGCAGCCGCTCGCTATATACCTGCTGGTCGAATACCTGAAATAAGACCAAATTTCCCAGCAGAGGCAGCGGGATTAGCAAACGAGCGAGATGAGCTTTGCCGTACTAACCCTAATAACCCCAGAGTCAGGGAACTTACTCTGGAGGTAAACAGGTTAATAGGTGAGCATAAGCGGAAAAAGTGGTTAGTACATCTGAAGCATTGCAACATCGGTACCGGAACGAGTAAATTGTGGGCAACGGTTAAGTCGCTTTCGAACCCTGGAAAAAAGGACGAAGGGACATCTGCCTTATTCAACGGCGTAGAAGTGACAGATCCGAAGAGGTGCGCGTGTTAATTTAACCGGCAGTTTGTAGAGCACCCCGAGAGTGACAGGCGAAGAGAAGGATCCTACGCCGTGTACGATCCCTTCCAGCCGAGGAGGTACCACCACAATTTACGTTGGCAGATGTTGCACAGGTCATCAGAAGCGCGAAGAGTACTACGTCGTATCAGATATCTTCCCGCCGAGGAGGAACAACCACAGTTTACGATGAGTGATGTTGCAAATGTCATCCGGAACGCTAAGTCATCCAAAGCGTTGGCAATGTCGAGTACCCAACGAAAGTTCTCAATTTGTCGCTAGACACCCACATAGTGCCCGAAATCTGGAAAATGGGCCGGGTGGTCCCGCTACTGAAGCCAGGCAAGGATGCCAGTAGCAAAAACTCATGAGGCGGTACCCCTCCCCAGCATTAGAGGAAGCTATCCAGTTTCCAACCACGGATTCCGTCCACAACATAGTACCAAAACAGCATTAGACGCCATTTCCACACATACTAGTAGAGGACTGAACCGGTCAATCGGAATATCCTCGCCCTCCAGACGGCAAAGAGATCGTAACGTATGCGGATGATTGTACGATAATGGCGTCGGGCCCAGTGGTCGATGACATATGTGAAAGGCTGAACCCCTATCTCGCGGAGCTTGACGCATACTTCCACGCGAGGAATATGAAAATATCCGCCGCAAAATCCACGGGCACACTCTTTACCACATGGTCTGCGGAGATGAGAACACAGCTGAATGTACAGGTCGAGAGGAATTTAATGCCGACCACGAACTACCCCAAGTTTCTAGGAGTCGCATTCGACAGCATGTTCAAGTCGACCGCGCAAGCCCCAGCTATCTGCGACAAGATGAAAAGTAGGAACAAGGTCCTCAAGACCGGTAGCACTTAGGGTGCGGACAAGGAAACCTTGTTGACCTCTTATAATGCAATAGGTTGGTCTGTGGTCAGCTATGCGGCTCCAGTGCGGTCTGCGAATACTATTGCTACGCAGTGGAAGCGCATCCAGACCCGCCAGAACTCTGACCTGAGAACTCCGACAGGGTGCCTTCTCATGACACTAGTGGACCATCTACATGAGGAGGCGAATGTCCTTCCCTTACGTCAGCATAATCATATGCTTTCGTTGCAGTACCTGCTTGGGTGTTACCGTGAGAGTCATCCCAACCATCATATGGTGGATAAATCCCCCCACCAGAGGTGTCAGGAAGGACATGCACGATCTAGAGAGGGAGGTCCAACGCTACAAAAATGAACCTATAGATCAAGAAACCTATCAGGCAAGTCTGAGTGGCATTCATACCGATGCAGTCGGGAATGCCATTAGCAGTTATAAAATTAATTCCGTCTTCAGAGTCCACCCCATCCATTGCAGCTGAAGAACGTCATCTGCCTAGACAAACCAGGGTATTTTTGGCGCAATTACGTTCAGGATGGTGTAGTCATCTCAATTAGTATTGGGCACGAATGATGAAGATGTGCGCGACGCGTGCCCGGCGTGTGATACAGGTCCGCACAATACGCTGCACCTTGCACAGCCAAACCTACCCAACTCACTCCAAAAGATCTCTTGCTGCAGCCCATTAACATTGGATCATGGCCTACATTACTCCCGGAGCGTTGACTGGAACCTTATAGTTTATTCCGACTACGATTTTGCAGGTGATATTCGAAAATCAGCAACAGGTATGGTAACACAAATGGGAAAATGGACGGTTTCATGGTTATCACAGCAACAGAATATTGTTGCATTGTCAACAACTGAAGCAGAAAAAATTGCAGCATTAGAAGCAGTAAAACACTTGTTATGGACAAAGCGTTTTATGGAAGAAGTATTAAACAAAATCAAAGCATTATTAAACTAATTAAGAATCCTGAGTACTATAAACGCACTAAACACATTGACGTGAAATATCATTTTATTCGTTAAGAGTTATTTTAAAAGTTCATATTTGTCCCGATTATTTAAACTTTATTATACTATAACATTTAGCGAAAGTGTTATTGGAAATGTAATATACTGTACATAATTTGCATTGTCGTTTGAATTATTTTGTAACAAAGCATGTCATGTTAGAATAGCTATAAATGCATTAAAAATCTGTAAAATTGTCATCGGTCTATTCAAATGACTACCGAAAATTTCAACTGCTTAACTGAGAGATCCTCTAGATCTAGAAGTCAGGTGGGTCTGAATAGCATTCATACCTAAGCAGTCACAGACACCATCAACAAGTATAGTATGAATGACGGCCTCGAAAGCCATCCCCCAACCATTACAACTGAAGAATGCCCGTTTTGGCATTACAAATGATATCAACACAAATGGTACTATTTTGGAAAGGCCGAGTGTAGGCTATAATGTAGTATGAAGATCTTAATACCCCATAATTGGTCCATTTTCGATTTTTGGGGAGTTTTTCAAAAAATTCCGGTAAAAATACCAATTTCCTTGTATTGCACCAGAAAGGATTGAATCATATGACCCTTTGTTGTACAGGTATTTCCATAAGCTTTCAGTTGAAACCCACATGTACATATCGGTTTTGAGGAAATCAGTACATCCCTAGATTTACTTTACTATTTCTAAACCGTTAATCGGAATAACGGGTTTCCTATCCTCATTGCAATAAAAAAAACATTTTCTTGAGGTAGGTGCATACTTCCCGAGATATGGAATTCAAAATTTTAAAAAGTAGTTTCCTTATATTTTGTATTAAATTTAAGTTGCACATATCCTAGAGAAAAACTCAAGGCCACTTAAAATCAACTTGGGTTCGGTGTTGGACCGGAGGAGAAATTCTCAAGCCCCGGCCGAAGGCCGTCAATTTGAAAAATAATTAAACATAAAAATAACTTAATTTGGGATTTTTTTAAAAATTGAATTTTTACTAATATTTAGAATCCAATATTTCGGGAAGCATGGACCCACCTCCCAAAATGTATTCTTTTTGTAATCAGGATGCAAAAACCTACATGTAGTGCGTGACATTTCAAAGTTTTTAATTCGATTATCGGTTCAGAAATAGCAAAGTAAAAAAGTGTATTTTTGGAACTTTGGAATCCTCGGGATGTATTTATATCCGGGAAGTATTTATATCCGCCCGATAATTTGCGCTGTGATTAAGATAACAAGACCTACCTTCGCTAAAAATTCCAGCATTTTTCACCAGCTGGTGATAAACTTCATTTTTTTTCGAAACTTTCCCGGACCAGACAATTTTGTAGAACTATCGACAATCAAATAATAATTACTGGCCAAACATTATGACTTCATATTTTTTCCCAGGAAAAATAAATTTTTAATTGCATCTCTATTCGACTCGCAATTATTTACTGGTAGTCGGTTGGTAAGCTGCTTTCTGGTGTAACAGAACGTGCATAACAAACCCTATCCATTGCTCTGTTCCAGAACTGCAAGAATGTAAAAGTTTGTATTACGATAACCGATTTTCCCTTTATGATATCGGACATAATCGCAAAAATAGTATATTCTGGCAGGTACCGAAACAGAGCATAAAATTATTTATTCTTTTTTTTCAAAATTTATTTGTTAAAGATATTAGCGTGTCAAGCATTTGATTGCAATTCCGTGCTTTGATTAGAAAAAAAAAACATTGAATACCTGATGAAGCCGTCATCTGAATTAGTAGAGCCATTTGCTGCCTTTCGGACATGGGTGTATTTGGATTTGGAGCTCCCATACTCCGTGGTCTCGGTGGTGGCATTTTGTCTTCTATGTATAAAATTGTAATAACCAATTGCTCAATATAATTTACATTGGAGCATTATTAAATTTCATCGAATCAGACAACGGCGCCACTCGATATTTGCAGCGAAGGCGGCTTATTATTTATGTCATAGTAGATTAACAAGGTACCCCTGTCTACCCAACTGGTGGCAATTTAGTTCACATAAGTTGTGTTCCAGAACCTACAAATTAGTACTAAGTAGTGCTAATTCTGTTACAACGCGTTCCCGTACTCCAAAAACTAGCAAAACTTGCAGCTCTCTAGAGAAAAAAATTGGCGCTAAGTGATGCACATTTCTGCTTGTTTTAGCTAAATGAATTTGGCCGAGCAGAAATCTGCATTGTAAATTTGACATTTAATTGGTAGGGTTAACAAGGTTGAAAAATGTATTGATATATTTCAATGTTCGCGCGTCACAACAAATGTAAATTAATATTTGTCGTGCAAAAAACAAAAAGAGAAAATATGGAGCAACTGATTATTCACTTTTGGATGATTCCAGGAGTGAAGAGGACTGGTTGAATGAGGAATCAGACGAAGAAAACGTATTGGAAAACTGTGCAAAATTAGTGAAAGATAAATTGAGAAATTAAGCTTAAAATGAAAGATGTTCGCTTATTAATGCGAACATTTTCTTTTTGTTTTTTAGGTTGGTTGTCTTCCCAACTTGTGGCATTAAGTCTTCTAGCAGACTTAACATTAATTTAACCGGCGCCTCCAACCATGTCAGCTTCTTCGGGGTTGGGATTTGAGAAAACTCCACCTTTAAATACTCTTCAACGCATTCTGAAAACAAAACTTTCTGAATAAAAAGCATTCAAAAATAATTATTAATTTTACTTTTTTTTTCAATACTCATTTTTTTTAAATTTTGGCGTCCATTGCAGTAAGGATTCACCAGTCCGATTTAGACTGTTTACTTTTGGAATTTTGAATGTAGACATTTTATCGCATTTCTGCTAATTTTCCGTTCCCTTATTTTTTGAGCACACCTAAATGAGAATGGCATTTCGTACTGTTCTCTCTTCTGCTAGTTTTACTAATAAAAAAGGACTGGAACACAACTATATATAGCACGATATAGCAAACCCCTGCTGATTCGACTATATGCATGGCACAATTACAGAAGGTAGAACAAAGCTACCTCCCAATTACAATTTTTTTCTTTTGTTGCCCTTATTATGTCACAATATATACATACATATTTTGTGTATGTGTGTGTGTATTGTTTTGAATAAAAAATTCCATAATTTGAAAGTATTTCAATTTTGGTTGCAAAATAAATTCACATTTTCGGCGTAATTTTTTTTATTATTGTTTAATTTAAGATTCAGTAATCTTTCATATATTTAATGAAAATAACAATAAGGTTTCATATCTAATATACTAATATTTTTATAGGGAGGCTGTCAATACAATCACCCCATATTTTTTTGATGATTTAATTATTAATTATTGATAATTTTTATGATATAGATGTGTGTTATTTTGTGGGCTTGTGGATACAGTTATATCCATGAATTAATTGAGTAGGTAGTTATGATTAGTTTAGATACAGTTATATCTAAGTGAATCGCGGACTACAGAAATAGTCTTACGGATATAATGTTGCTTTGTTTAGATACAGTTAAATCTAATCATCCCGCGGACTACAGTAATATTCTTATCGATTTCTTCACTAATCTTCCCGCGGTCTACAGTAATAGTCTTTTCGATTTCTTCGCAGAAGCAGCATCCAATTTTGCATACTACTACCTGTAGAAGTATAACAGTGGGCGACGTTCAATTGGCCAGACAAGAGCTGAAAATAATGAGAGCGTAAGACAAAAAAATAAACTATATGATAGAAAGAGTGTCACGTCTGCGCAGTCTATCGTGTCCTCCGAATAGTAGGAGTTGGCGGGCCAAGCTATTTGGATACTCGGATAGTTTGTTTAAGTACTTGCGGCAAAGCTTCTTTATTTCTTCTTCAACAGTAAGTATATTTAGGTCCTTGTGGATGTTTGCGTTCCTTATGTACCATGGTGCACCTGTAATAAATCAAAGAATATTCGACTGTCTTCTTTGTAGTTTACTTACGTTAGAGGCACTAGCTGTGCCCCAGAACTGTATGCCATACGTCCAAATTGGCTTTATTACAGTCTTATATAATAGGACTTTGTATTCTAATTTAATAGAAGAACGTATACCAATTAACCACTCAAGATTGGACTTTTTTAGTTTAATTTGCGCGATTTTTGCATCGATGTGTTGCTTCCACGTAAGTCTTCGGTCCAGATGCATTCCGAGATATTTTACGGTATCTTTCTGTGGAACTTGAGTATTAAAGATTTTTGTCGTGGGGCAAAGTTCACGTCTTAGAGCAAAAGTAACGTGTATGCACTTGCTTGCATTTACCGATATTCTCCATGTTGTCAGACAATTTTCGAGAAGATATACATGGTGTTGTAGTTTTTCCGACGCAATCAGAGGATCCTTGTGTATGCTAATGAAAGCAGTATCATCAGCAAACGTTGAGGTTAGAGTTTCATTGGTTGTGGGCATATCGGCAGTAAATAACACGTAGAGAATTGGTTCTAAGATACTACCCTGTGGGACGCCAGCCAATATTTTACTCGAAATTGAAAGTATGTATTTCGATTTAACAACAAACGTACGATTTGACAAATAACTACCTAAAAGTTTATGAGTGTTTTTAGGTAGAGTTTCACAAATTTTGTATAGAATTCCAAGATGCCAGACTCTGTCAAACGCTTGGGAAATGTCTATAAATAACGCAGAGCAGTATTCGTTCCTTTCGAATGCCATTCTAATGTTTGTGACCATGCGGTGCACTTGCTCAATAGTACTGTGGTTCTTACGGAAGCTGAATTGATGGTCGGGGATAATATTGCTACTTGTAATATGGGGAGTTAACTTTCTTAGTAATGTTGTTTCGAACAACTTTGAGAGCATAGATAGAAGACCAATGGGTCTATACAATTTGACCTCCGTATGACCTTTTCCAGGTTTGGGGATCATACTATTTCAGCTTCTTTCCATGTAGACTGGAAGTACCCTACTCGAAGAATGCTGTTAAATATAAATAACAATAGTTTAACGACCGGTGTTGATAATTTCTTGAGCATGTTTGGTGTAATTCTATCTTTACCCGGGGATTTTTTTAGTTTCGTCGATGATTTACTTTCTATTTCTTTTGAGTATTGGATTCGGAACAATGTCGCCAATTAAAGGTTGAACAACTGTCGATGGTCCGGAATTTGGGGTAAATCCATTTTCAAGGTGCTAGTCAAATGTGTTTAATTTTTCTTCTATAGTTTTTGTCCAAGTCCCAATTTCTAGGCGAATTGGATATTCGTGGACGATAGGTCTTTTCAAGATTTTTGTGGCTTTCCATAAGCTGTAGTCAGTTCTCTCTGTGGGTTCCAGTTTATTTAAGAATATTTTTAAGTTTCGCTTTTCGTGTAATCTGAGTGCTTGTTTTAGAATTTTTCACATTATTTTATTTTATTCCGAAGCCTAGGGGAGCGGTGCTTCTGCCATTGTCTTCTGACCTTCCTTTTATAAGACACGTGTTTTCGAATGATCGATGGATTGTAGGAATTATTTTCTGGTTTAGGAAATTTAGTGGGAGTATATTTATTTGGTACATAATTTTGTAACTTTTGTAGATAATAAATTGTATATTTATTTGGTAGATAATCCGGGGAAGTTGCGAGTTGAACATCATTTAATGTTTTTATAGTTGGGGAATGGTCTGACGACAAGTCAAAAGAGGGTACCACGGACATTTGTTCCCTCTTAATATTCTTTGTTACCGCAAAGTCAGTTAAGTCAGGACGTTTTTTCAGGTCTGAAGGCCAGTAAGTAGGCTGGCCAGTAGATAACACGTCCAGTTTAGCGGACGAAATGGAGTTTAAAAGCTGTCTACCTCTGGGTGTTATAAGTCTAGATCCCCAGAAAGTGTGCGAATTCGTCTTTGCTTATACTATGTCTCGGAGGACAGTATATAGCAGATATAGCTCTATTCGTTGAAGATAGTGCAACTGTTGTAGCTTGTAGGTGGTCAAACTTATATTCTGGAATGGGGTAATGCTAAATTTTATTAGAAATTATCACCGCGGTGCCACCGCAAGCTCTCCCACTAGGGTGTTTAGTGTCGTATGTACTGTAACCGTTTATTCTAAAACAGTTTCTAGAAGTGAAATGAGTTTCAGATCAGTAAAATGTGTATGTTGAGTGAGTGAATAAAGTTTTCGACCTCGTGTTTATGTTGGCTTAAGCCGTTTGCGTTCCAAAAACAGATTCGAATTTTATCTATTTTTTTTAAAAACTATTTGCATAATCATAGATTGATTTCTCACAATATCTTGCATTATGCTTTGCATACTTGTCATAAAAGACGACGATTAGTTTTTCGATAGATGATTCTATATTTGAATTTTTATAGTTGGGTGAGTCATTTCTCAAAGTATCAGAATATAAGTATTGCATATTGGGATGTGGACATTCCGATGATTTATGGAGGTCACCACAAGTAACACAAACCGATAGCAATTTGCAATACGTTTTGGTATGCCCATACTCTTGGCAGTTTGTACATTGAGGTTGGCCTTTTCTTTTTTGAGGTTCTTCAATTTTCACACCGCGATTACAAAGATTACAAAAAAATTGTCCCTTTTTCTTTAGTTGCGAAGATTCGTATGTTAGTTCTACTTTAAACATAGGTTGCGGAACTTTATCTTTATTGAAAATGTTGATGATAGACTTTGTTTCGAATCCTTCTGCTGCGAGAGCATCTTTTATGTCCTCTATGGGCGTAGAACTATGAAGCCCTTTAATGACGACTAGTCCTTTTAAGCTCTTGATCTGATAGGTGTAATAATTCTTCTTCTCAGAATCCGGAGCACGAACTAAGTCCTTATAATGCAACTCAGTATAAGTTTGTATTTTCGTCTCTTGGAGATTTCCTCTCTCAAGAGATACCGCGTGTAAATTAGGTTTACCCAATATTTGGGAGAGTTGGTTTACAAGATTGTTTGTAGTTTCTTCGCGAAGATATAGTGGGGAGGTTTTTGGGATC